ATGATTATGAGAAAATGTAGGATTTGATCTAAAAATGAATGACATGTTAGAAGAAAAAATGTTAAGAAAACTGGTTAAGACAAAATTTAATTCAGGAAAGTATGAGATTAAGAAAATAATAAGAAATAAGAAAAGTATGTTTTGGCTTCCGGCCGTAAAAGATGATATGAACGTTTTGGCTTCGGGCCGTAAAGGATGATATGATCGTTTTGGCTTCAGGCCGTATGTTGGCTTTGGCCATGATGGACATATGGGGTCAAGTTATGAGTGACCGACGGGTCGAGTTTAATGGCTACAGGCCAAGTATGTTTGACTTCGGGCCTTAAGTGACCTCTCGGGTCGAGGATGAGTAAAATGGTTACATGAATGAAAATGCTTTAATATCTATAAGTAAAGATAAATGGGAGCTCAACAAAAATGGTTAAGTATAAGGATAAAATGGAATGCTAGGTTTATAAAACAGATTGGAATGATAGGTGGCTAGAATAAAATGAAATGTTAGATTTCTAGGATGAAATGGAGTGTTAGGATGCTAGTACGAAATGAAATGTTAGGTTGCTAGAATGAATGGAATGCTATGTTTCTAGAATGGAATGAATTGTTAGGTTGCTATAATGGAATTTATTTCTAGTTTGCTAGACGAGAATGGGATGCTAGGTTGCTAGAATGAAATGGGATGCTAGGTTGCTAAAATGGGTTAGAATGCTAGGTTGTTAGAATTGAATGGAATGCTAGGTTGCTAGATGTTATGGGTTGCATGTGAGCGGTTTTGAGTATCCTCACTGAGTATTTTTGTATGCTCATGCCTCCTTATGTGATGCATGTAATGTTTGATTGTGTGGACCGGAGTGCAAGATTACAAAGACCATCGGGAAATAGTGTTTTAACTTGGGGTAATGTTTTAGAAGTTTTGATCAAGCCGTCTTATTGTAACAGTATGAATTTGATGTATTTAGTCTCGAATTATTAACAAAGTCGCAGTATTTCTTAGTACTCTTGCCTTGAAATTTTTTCAGATGTTTACTTAGACTTTTAAACGTGTTTTCAATTTTTTTTTAGGTCGGGGTGTTTCAGGACTTCCTTTAGAGAGCCATGGGTTCTTACGTCTAGGTTGCTTGGAGTCGATTCCATGTGTAGCAATGACTGATTTCTTGCAATGTTTGATGTAGCATTCTAGTGATAATGAACAATGGTTGGTATCATATTGTATCTGATTGATTTTTAGTGGACAGCAGTCCTCTTTCCCTCATTAAGTAGTATAGAGTGTCATGTGGGAAGATTGGTTCAGAGCAACTTCATTGAGTAACTTATTTACTCATGCCTTCCCTTTTCATTTCTTTGTGTTGCAAGACGTAAGTACAAATATATAGATATGAATGGGTTGGTATTTCACAGAAGGTTATGCATTTTCAATAGCTCATGGGACCAATAAAAAGACACGCTGATAGGTCTAAAATGAGTACACGCATGTCCATAGCACCCCGTCCGAACCTCGGTCGGACGAAGAGTGATCGAGGCACGACATTATTGATTTCTTCTTTCTCGTGGCCGAATTGGTGAAGGTAGACTTCAGCTACTCAGATCTACAGTTATGGAAGTAAAGATAATCATCTCACATAAGCAACAAAATCTAGATATCATGACAATGACATGCATATTTATGTGTGGTTAAATTTTAATATAGGGATTTTTTTTCAAAGTATTTATATTTTCAACAGCTTTGTTCAAATTGGTTGTCGTTCCTTAAACATTCATTTTTTTTAAATGTATCATTTTGATATTTTCTTACAATTCAAAAAAATAATTGAAATGTATATATGTTCTTATTAATTACACATATTTGATCAATAATATTTAAAATAAATAAGATTATTAATAATATCATTGTGATTTGCAATTAATACTAAAATAAAAAAAAACTAAATATAATTTGTATTAGAATTATAAAATGGCAAGTTTAACAAAATAAATGTTAAAATGACATTTAAGAAAACAAAGTGTATAGGTTTTTCATTAAATGATAAGTTTTCAGTGGATTCCCATGGAAATTCAGAAATCTAAACTTTGCTTCGTAAGAAATGGCCCATCAAACAAAAAAATTACTGTTGGTCTATGATTCTGGACAATCTTATTATATAAAGAAATCTTTTCATCTCTCTTGTGATGCCATGTCACTAATTCATACATTCTCAAAGTGATATGTGTCATATTTTTCTAGACTCTGGACTTCATTAAACAATCAACTATTTTCATGGGTTTTTCTATGTGTGTACTAGTCTTTGGTCGAAGAACCCAGCTCAACAGCGAGCAACCCTAATCCCTTTTACCCGGAACATTATGTGTTCTCCGCCATGAAAACACCTTCGTTGAAGGACATAGCCACGAGCATCAGCAAGTAACCGATCGTCGTGTTCACGCCGAAATGCACCACTGACGCAGCTTTTGCCGAGAATCTGGTACCCGAATTTGCGAGAAGAAGATTAGAAGCGCCGATGCGAGGCGGAGGAGGATGACATATAGATAAATGGATCTGAACTGGAGGCGGCGGTTCTTAAGGTACTGGTAGAAGGCGGCGAAAATGAAGCAAGCAAGTAAAGTGATGATGTAATTGAGGCATGAATCAGTTTTTTTCAAAAATCAAAAAGAATTGCTGCTTTGATTTCCCAATAGAAGGTCATGTGCATCATCTTTGTGATGGCTTGAGCTTCTTTGATCGTCTGAGATGTGAAGAAAATAAGAAACGATCGAGAAGTTGTTGTAAAGTTATAATTGGTTGTTTACTTCGTTTATAGAGTAAGTATCATTGTGGGCTCAAACTATAGTCGGTTGGGCTTATCAATAAGTCAAAATCTCTTTTACTACACCAACAAACTTAAATTTGATTTAACCAAATTGAAACAATCATGTTCTTAAGTTGTAACCTATTGAAACCTTTTAAATCCAATTGAAATTTTATTAAAGCTTTTATATCACAAGTTACATATTATAGAAAATCGGATTAAGTAAATTTTTGTGTATATAATAAAAAATAAAAATTTAATACCTTAACATCCAAAACATATTTATATAATGATACATCATACTATTTTATTATTATTTCATATTACAAATTTAATTTTGCTTATTAAATATTTCAAATGGTTATTTTACATTAGAAATATTAAAAATAATTAATAAATTCTTATTTATAATTTTCAAATAAGAATAATTTTTAAATAAATAAAAATTCTAACAAACATAATAAAAGTATTTTATAATAAACAAAAGAATATTTTTTAAAATATAATCAATATATCATAATTTATTATGTATAATAAAATTATTGTAAAGACTATGTTTTATAAGTTAGTAAAATGTATTTCAAAAAATCTAATCAACTATTTTGATAACATGGTTAACTTGATTTTCATATATATATATATATATATATATATATATAATACATATAATATTTTAAGAAACATGTATATGTCTAAACAGTAATAACATTTTCATATTATCTATTTATCGCTATTAAAATATTTTAGTTTAATAGATAATATCATGTAAATAATTAGTTCTTTTTATGATGGTGTAAATAAAAAGAAGTTTAGTTCATGAAACAAATATATAATTACGAGTAAATAAGTTCACTTTACATATTTCAATTTACTGTAATTCTTTTTAAGAAAATAATTGTCACTTATTGGTATAGTTAAATTAAAATACACATTGAAAAAAATTACATTATTTAAAATTTTATTATAGTTAGACAAGTATGATTTCTAAAATAAATAGTAAATAAATAATTACAATTGTTGTAAAAAAAATTACAAATGGCAAAGCTACTTTTTATTAAAAGTGAATCAAATATTTAAAATAAATTTGTAATATTATTTATTTATTTTCTCATCCGTATGACGGGATTACCGTAGTGAATACATAAATAAACAAATACCACATGGCTATAACTATATGCTTTTCTGGCCGAGTTATTCTTGGGTTTACCATCCAATAGGATTGCATTATTTCATATTTGATATCTTTAAAAAAAAGAAATAAAATTTTCTTAAGTTATATTATATTTTTAAAAATAAAAATACAAAATAAATAAAAAATAACAATACTTAATAAAAACGAAAATAATTTTTTTTAAAGAAAATCTTTTAACACTAAACCTTAAACTCTAATCCTAACGCCTAAATCCATGAGTAAATCATAAACCTTTGGATAACTTTTATAAAAAATAGTCTTTAAAAAAAATTCTACAATTAAACACTAAATCCTAAACCCTAAACCCTTTGATAAATCGTAAACACTAAACCTTTAACTCTAATCCTAAACCCTAAACTCTTGAGTAAATCGTAAACATTAAATTTTTAAAACACTATAAGATTAATCCAAAGGTTTATGATTTACCCAGGGGTTTAGGGTTTAGGATTAGAGTTTAGGGTTTAGTGTTAAAATATTTTCTTTAAAAGAATTATTTTTGTTTTTATTAATAATAATGATATTTTATTTATTTTTGTATTTTTATTTTTAAAAACGTAATATAACTTAATAAAATTTATTTTTTAAAAAATAAATAAATAAATAGGAAATAATGCAATTCTATTGGATGGTGAATTTAAAGGTTAAGGTGTTATAAAAAGTTATGCCTTGCATTTACAAAAAAAAAAATCCATTGTCTCTTGATCTTTAAGTCTTCATAAGATCCCTTATACTTTTATCTGCATAAGATCCGCTTTGGAATCCAAAGATATATGATCATTTTACTCTGAGAACTGTTAAAAGAACTAATCATGGTAATTCAATTTAATAGTTAGTATGTCATCAACATGTTGGCAGAAAAACGAAAAAAATTCTAGCTGAAATTAGAGATCTTGTCTTCTAAAAGTTTATAATAATCATAACGAAGATCAATAACAAGCAATGAGATTTGAAGTAAAACAATTTGAAAGTATTTAAAATGTGAAAAGAGCTTTAGAGCTTATCCAAAGCTATACTGTTTGGGGCTTAAAAGAAGACATAAAACATTTCTTCTGAATCTGAAAATAAATACCCAATATGAATCTTAAAAAAATAAATAAAACAAAGAAAGTGATTGACGGTTGTTTCTTCTTCCTCTTCCTCCTAGGTATTAACTAAGATTCTAGAATCCTAAAACGATATAAATAATATTTTCTAGAACATGTTGGAGAGATTGATCATGAGTTAGTGTACAATGAAGTAATCCCTTTGCTCTGGTATTTTGGTAGTCAATTAATCCTCATCTATCTTGATGGATGGTGATGTAATTTCTTTAAGACCATCTTTGTTGCTACTTTCAGCTGGTTCTTTCGTAGCTGTTATAGTAATAACAACGGTTTTAGTTGCAGTTGTGGTAGCTAAGACAACAAAACAAACTGTCAAGAATATGATACAAAAACAATGGTTTCAATGAATTATGAAATCAAACCTGAGGTCGAAATTGTAGAGGATGAAGATGATAATGATAGAGCCAACGAGGTTGGGAGGGAGAGAACTGGAGGCGGAGGAGGATGTGGGATAAATTGCTCACGAGGCAAGTAAGGGTATTGCTTCACGAGGTGTTGAGTCTGAGTATGAGCTTGATAGCTACTTTGTGCTGGGTTGTATTTATGAGGATAGAAAGGATAGTAACCATGGAACATTCCTGATGGTAGAGGTCCCATATATGGAGAGTACTGTTGTCCTCCATAGAGTTGATGATTGTAGTAGTTCTGTAACAAATCAACATACATAAGAGCTTCAACAATCAGTGAATCGGAATCAATCAACCTAATGAAGGATAACTAACCATCGGGTAAATTCCCTCTTGAGAATAACCAGAAAGTCTGCACAAGAAGAAACACAACATTGTGTCCCAATAAAACAAAGAAAATCAAATAAATAAAACCGGCTGTTGATGAGATGATTATTCTCCTCGTTCCTGCAAATCAAGTTTCCCAACAATCGTTAAGAAAGACTTCTTCACGTGTTAATCAAAGTAACTAAATCTTCACATGCATTCTTGTTTGAACCGAATTCGATCGTGTATCAATGAGGTGAGTGACTGGACTCGTCGGTGGATTATTACGAAGGAATGAACAAGAGTAAACAAAAGAGGGAATCTTATTTATAATCGGGATGTGAGTACAAAGAGTATTTCCGGTGCTCAGGGAGCTTAACCGGAAGTGTCGTACGGACTAGCCGGTAAACAACAAAGTGAGTAAGATGAAAAACCCTAATGTAAGTCGCCGTCTAGTCAGTCTGATTTCGGATCCCCTTCTCTTCGTGCCCCTCGTCCCTTTTATAGCTGAACCCTCCTTGTTAAGTTTTACCTAAAACGGTATATGTTGATGGGCCTTCGTATTGAGCCTCTTTCTGACTCGGAAAGATGAGTTTCTTACTCGTACGGACGCTACTCGGTTATCGCCCGGTCAACGTCGTCTATCAGTGAATCGTCTCTTATCAGGCTGAATTCGGTTTCCCGTGGGCCCTGAGGGGTGGGTACAATCCACCTCCTACAATAAGTCCCCCCAGTCTATTGATGACCGGTGAGTGAATCAATGGAATTAGTTCGTTGGGTTTACGGGAAAGCATATTTGGAACGCGGGAGGAAACTTTTGGAAGTGCTTTTCGGAGAAATTGTTTACTCGGCGATGAAAATGAATTGAGATTGCGGATCGAGTCTTGTACTCGGTAACCAAGCGGGAAGCAAACTCGAGGGGTTCACTCGGTGATCATGTTGTCATTGACATGCGCGTATTATCACCGGTGCATACGAGTTATTCGGCGGTCGCACGAGGGTGATTGCGTTGCTTACTCGGTATTCACCTGATCGTCATCCCGCGTGAATCGTTAGGTAGTTGTGCGAAGGGAATTGAGTTTCTTACTCGGTGACCGCTCGAAGCATATGAGACTGGGGAATTCGAACGGTCGCGAGAAGTGGGCTTTTCCTATATGACTCGGCCCATTAGAGACGGAATGCAAAAGGTCTCGAAATAAAAAGCCCATCTACGTCCTCGTAGACCTAATAATTGCAGTTCTGGGATTCGCGCCCCTTCTCCTATATATACTTCTCTTGCCTTTCCTCTCTTCATTCTTCTCCGTGAAATCAGGTATCCTTTCTCTCCCTTCTCTCTACTTTCTCTCTCTAGATAATTGTAGCATATATACGCACCATCAGCAGTTATGTGTTCCCAAAAGAGACTCACCCGGGAAGAGAAAGGAAAGGGGATCGCCTCTGCATCGAATCCTGCCAGAGATGAAACGACCTGTGAGCCGTTAGATGACTTCCACTTGGAGCACCGGGAGTTGCTGAGGGATTCAGCCGGTCTCGATTTGGCTCAAAGGCTCTTAGTCGTTGATTCGGAGAGGGAATTTAGGGGCGAAGACGACGGCAATATAGCTACCTATTTACTCGGCGATCAACAGCCAAGGCAAGTTGGAGGAGTTCGGGTCACTAGAACGACAAGCAGATCTCGGGCCATTAGGGCGACTGGTGGGACCCAGACTGCCAGGCAGACCGGCAGGTCAACTGGTAGAGTCCGGACTGCCAGACCGGCTGAGAGGGTTCAGCCTGTCGCGGGTCCTCCCCCAGTTCCTAAGCGCTACTCGAGGAACGACGTTTTAAAAGGGGTTTGGCCCTTCCTCCGAACTTGATTCGTAGCCGTGGCACTTACTCGAACGAGCGCATATGGCCAACATGGTCGACCCCTGACAGTGTTGAGCATCTTCTCATGCGCCTTAACGCGATTGGAGTTACGTATCTGATTCCTACGGATGATCAACGGACTTGGACTCCTCCAATGGGATACCAGTGTGTCTACGAGTCGTATTTCCAGAGAGATACAAAGCTTTGGTTCCCGATACCGAGAGTTATAACGTCGTACGCTTCTCGCCGTGATTTAGCCCTAAGTCAGTTCGTAAACGGTGTGTTCCGCCTTGTCGTCGCATTGTTGGTAATGGCTGCTGAGATCAACATATCGCTATGTCCTCGGGCACTCGAAGAATTGACTTTGATCAAACCCCTGAAGAACGATCTCTTTGCCATAAATATGAGGCCGAGTTACAATGTGATCACGGGTCACCCAACGAAGACCACGAATTGGCAGCGTTACTACTTTTTCGTCAAGTCGGATGAGCACTCGTTCGTCGATCCCCAGATAATGGATCTCGGGTGTTATAGAATTGGCAAGCTGGTTGATAGTTGCTCTTTTCTCGCAAATGGTTTTCTTTTTCCTAACTCTATATTTCCTTTTTTCTTTGCAGTGGCACATCTGTACTTGACTGGAGTCCCGGGATCCTTTTACGATAACGCTCGCGCACTTGTCGAACTCGGGCATCGTAGTTGGCCTGACATAAGCGAGGAAAGGGTTCGCAGATACCTTGACCGGATTGATAACGGTAAGGAGCCGAATACCGTGAATTTTCTTTCCTTTCATTGTATGATCGATCTCTGAGCTTGGCACATCTTATGCAGGTGAGTGGGACTCGAGGCTTCTGTGTGCGAATTGGATCGGTAAGAAGCGATCGGTTTTATTCTCAAAGAAGGAACAAAAGTCAATCAACCGAGCATTGAGGATGAGAGAAGTGCCGGATCTATCCTTGGAAGTTGAGGCCGATGAGGAGTCGGGAGCGGGACTTATGATTATCCTAGATAGATTCAACCTAGACGGATCGGACCCGGTAGATCACACGACTCCATCTCTTGGTGAGACGTCAAAGACGGGGCCGACCGATCCCTTGGGAGAGGGTGGCAAACGGCCTCGATCAGAGGATCGACCTGAAGGAGAGAGAATCCAAGGCCCCCTGGTTGTTGAGGAAAAAGAAGCTTCAGGCCAGCCTGCCAAGAAGAAGACGTCTGCGGAGAAGTCGGTGGATGGAGAGTCCGGTTCTGGAGCGGGGAGTGTCCCAGTGCCTAAGGATTCACCAATGATTCCGCCTCTCGGGGAGAGACCTACGGCTGCCGATCCGGTAGGCGATAAGCCTTCTCCGGGTCCTTCGACCGAACCAGCAGAGGCTTCCTCTAACCCTCCCTCGAAGAAAAAACATAAGAAGAAGAAGATGAAGGCTGCTTCGGATCCTCCTACGAAACCTGCCGAGGCTGCTGTTCCTTCGACTCTGGGTCCCGGGACTTCAGTGGTTCCTTCTGACAAGGCTATTACTCGGAGGTTCAAGGCGGTGTTTCCCGACAAGGTTCTTTTCTCATATGATGAAGCGTCTCCTCTGATAAGCAACGGGCCCAGATGCGCTGATCTCGTCTGTCAGATCAAAGGGGGCCCGCGCGAGCTTCCGGCCATCGATCAGCTCGCCTTCCCGAACGCCTACATGGATGTGCCGCAAAATTCGCTAACGGTGAGTGTCTCCCTCTCTCATCTTGGTAAGATTTCATGTTTACGGTTCTCTCATCCTCCTTTCTTGATTTAATGACCAATATTCCAGGCCGAAGGCAGTATCAACTTCCTCGTCGAGAAGTATGACTCGGAGCTTAAGAGGACGTATGCCGACCTAGGTAGATCTCACAAGAAGACCAAGGCCGGGAAGAAGCGGATCAGTACGCTGAAAGCCTCTCTCGGGCAGGTAGAGGTTGAGAGGGACGACGCTGCTCGCCGTGCTGAGTCCAAATCTATGAGGGCTGAAGACATCTCGAGCAGGCTTAGGTCCATGCAGGTTGCGGCAGATAAATTCGAGGAGGAGAGAGCCGCCTTGTTGCTGGATAAAGCGCGGCTTGAGCGCGAGCAGGTCGAGCTTGTGGAGGTTCATGTTAAAGAAGCTGCTCGGCTGAGGGAATCTCGAGTGTTTGAGGTTACCCGTGAGCAAGCCATAGTAGTTTCTGTGATGTCTGCGAAAGCTGGTGTTCGGTTTGAGCGATCCGCAACCAAGAAAACGATTTTGCGCCGTTCGACGACGCTCGATGTTCTTACAGCCAAGCTTTCGGTACTCAGAAATGCCTGGAGCTTCTTCAGAAGAAGGGAAACCCGATCCTGCAAGAACGGATTGACTACTTTAAGGGTAAGAAGCTGAAGTGGCACGCGGAGGCTACTCGGTTGGATGTTGGTCCCCTCACAGAGCAGGACTTGACCTTATCCCCGCTTGCTTTGGAGTCGGCTTTTGTTGATGAGAGCCTTCTTGTTAACTTGGCTTCCGAGTTAAAGAAGGAATTCCCTCAGAATCAAAACGGTTCCAACTTGAATCTGATCAGTCCGCGAGCAGCTGCTTCCCTCCATACTCCGGGTTGTTCTCTCGGAGGACATTCAGGCGGGAGTGTCGGTAATCGACCCGCCGAATGTAGTAAGGTTGCTTCTGCTGCGGGCAAATCGGCGACTGAGGTGGTTACCTCGGGGTCTTCAGAGGAAGTTGATTTCTCTGATTCGGGAGATTCTGGGGAGAAGAAGGCCAGCGTGGAAAGTGACAAGGCGAGGTCCAACCCGAAAGGATTGGAGATCCCTGAAGAACAGATTGGAGAAGAAGTTGTGAACCAGCAAGTCCCGTCGAATGGCGCTCCTCAGCAGATGGCTAGGGCAGATGACGACCAGGCCAAGGAGCAGGAGTGATGCGATCTCGCATTGTTTTTCTCGGGGAGTGTTTCCCCTTTCTTTTGTTGTTTTCGGCTCCGTTGGTGGGGTTCGATCTTGTAACTTGCTTTGTGTTTTTTATTTATTTTGACTTTCATCAGTCGCTGATTGATTCGTGACAGTTTAAGTTTCGAGTGATTTAGAATTAATTCCGAATAAATTATCGAGGTGTCGTTACATGAATGTTTGAAGTAACCCGTCGGATACTCGACTGTGCAGCCCAATTTCCGGTTATCAAAATTAACTCGAAGTAATTTAAGTCGTAAATGAACTCATGTTTTACTCGGGATAAACTATT